CCCCAAAACCCCAAAACCCCAAAACCCCAAAACCCCAAAACCCCAAAACCCCAGTACATAACAAAATATTGAAATTCTTATTTTTGAATATAGGACTTTCTCTTCTTAAGCTTGGTATTGCCCCTCATCTTGCTCCTAGCAGATGTCTTAGGATATACAGTTTTATCTATAGCTGTAACTTATAGTTCCTTACTAGTGTTTCTGAAGGATTTCTGTGACCGGAGCCTTCTGTCTTGCATCTTCTCTTTCTTAGTATACTGGGGGAAATCTATGAAGCTCTGTCCATACATTGTAGAAACCTGGTCATTATTATCATACTGTCTATCACCAGTGTAGATAGTGGAATCTTGACTGTCCCCTTCATTTGAGATGAAGGAATTAAACATCATTGGATGAGAGACTGATGTATCAAATACCTTATTTGGGATTGCTTGATGGTTAATGAAAATCTTGGCATTTTTGACCTCTTCCTTCCGTTTGCAATTTTCTGTCCTTCTATAGAAAAATTATCAGACACTAGAGTACATGTTACGTCTCTCTTTGATCATCATTCCTTTGAACATTTGCTTTTCAATGATGTTCTTTGCCTGAGTAAAGTTACTGACGAATTGCTGATCTTCTCTTTTGGCTCTTCTATTTTGCGCAGATCTGTTGACCCTGATCTTCTGCAACAAATTTCGATTCTTCCTTTCTTGGCTCTGCTGGGTTCGGACAACTGTGCAAGATAAGATGTCTTCTTACTAAGATTCCTTTGTTTTTCCTTTTTATTAAGATATTTAAGCATCTTGAGGTTCCTGGCTTTCTCTCGAGACTGTTCTCTCTTCATAATGGATCTAATCTCGTTGGCTTTCTTGACTTTCAGAGTTAGATGAGTTTTATTGTGCTTGCTAAAAATTTCTTGGAAATATTACCTAAACATGTTGAGCATAGACTTGTTCATCTCCTTGAAATCTCTGATCTCCTCAATTCTCTCTTTACGATCCAGCATAGCTCGTTTATTCTTGAACAGAGGAGCTGTAGTCACGTAGGCTCGACTTTTGTCATGATGAGACTTGAAGAAAGTTTGACTCTCGATAGATTTATCATATAGAGGATCCTCCTCGTAGGATAAAAACTTAGAAGGATACATTGCCTCTCTAGAGTCATAAGTTGGCCGCTTCATAAAGGACTCCATGGACTCATCAGGGTGTGTAGTCACCCTAGTAGTTCTATCTTTCCTGAAATCATTGTATGTCTGGTAGGAATCTCTGTACTCAACAGAGGTATGCATCTTCTGCTGGGCTATTGATTGGTTATTAATAATAGAAATGCAGCTCTCATTCGGGTTCATGTTTTCTATCTTAGAGATATCACATGTGGGTGGCTTGTCTAAAATATCAAGCTAAAATCTTACCAAGTTCTCGCTTGTGATTCCGAACAAGAGTTTTGGAGAAGTATATGTCCTTAGTTAATTTTGGTATTTTTGGACGGTCTCATGATCTCCAAGTCAAGCTCATTCTTGAACTGTGAGTTTAGAACCAATGCTGTTGTATCTATAAGTGTCAGTTGCAGGACTTTACTTTGGCCTTCAGGGTCGATATTTCTGGTTTTGTTGTTCGCATCATTTGTAGGTACATAATATTGCTTATCCAAAGAATCCAGAATCAACCCGGAGTGGGGATATTTTGAAGAATTCCACAATTTCTCGCTTGTGAGTGCCTTATGAAGAGTAATTTTGTAATACTCTATAATAAATTTTAATCCTGTGTAGAAGAATGGGTCTTGAAGTCCAACTTTTCCAAATCCTCTAATAAAGGAGTGATTTCTGGCATTATAGCTGATCAGAGCTAGAATTGCTACTCTTCTCTTAGCTTCAGCTGTAGTTTCTCATGGAATTCTTACGAAATGTAGGTTGTTTACATCCTCGAGTCCAACAATCTTTTTATTCTTAACGATATCTGAGTATGATCAAATAGAGGGACACCTTGGCTTTTCAGGAGAGGTTGAATGCTTATGTATTATTTCGTAAGGATCATAACCTATGAATGATCCCTGCATATTCACTGGAATGTCAAATCCGAACCATTTCGGGACAATACTTCCAGTTTCATATCTATCTGTTTTTGATAAATAAATTTGGCCTGAGATGAGATTGTCTTCACCAACTTCAAAGTTTAGGAACTGTTCCTCAAATCTCCATCGTCGGGGATCTTTGTCTATTATTTCCCTCAGATTGAGGTAGACGTTAGTCTCAATGAAGAACTCAGGGTCTGTGATTTGGAGACAGATATCTTTGATTTTAATAAGAGCTTTGAGTCTGTGACTGATTACCCATTTTCTCCATCCTCTTTGCATGCAGACAGCACCTCTCCTTCGCATTATTTTATGCAATGGAGTGCTTTCCTGGCTTCTTTTCCAACGGTATTGTCTATAAGCTCACTGTATCTGAGAAGCTGCAGCCATGAGCTTGAGTGTCTTCTCAAAGAACATTAGAATTGGCTGCTTTTCACTCTGTTGTGCAAGCAGGTTGTGCTTGTACACCCTCTCCACTAGTTCTGTTAAGAACTTGTGATTATCAATCTTGAAAATCATTAAGTCGTCATATAGATCCTCGTAGAGATTTTCTGTGAGGATCCCTATAGAAAGGTTGTAAATGTGGCTTACTGTTTTGTTCTACTATTCTGATATCATGCAAGAACTTAGCCTTCATAAATTTCAGACCAGAGTTTTTCATGATTCGGATTCTACGGAGAGTTTCCTTCTCATCAAAGACCATCATCTTGTTAAAGACATTATGTTTGGTAAGGTCTTTCATCCAAGTGTTGAAGGTAATCTTGCTTCTGAAGGAGGGATGAATTAGATGACTTAATCTAGCTGTAGGTAGTACTGCTGCCTCTGGCTCAAGAATTCTTACAGCACAGTACTTATCGGTAATCTTAAAGCAATTCTTGCTAATCTGGAGGTAATTTCCATACTCTGGGTTCTCCCTACACATCTGTTTTATTATTGCAAGGAGGAAGGGTTTTTGCTCCCTACAGATGTACATCCATGAGTTATCCTCTAAATCTAGAGCCTTTATGTAGCTCCGGGTGCGAGCTCTCCATCCTCTGAACATTTTCTGTATAACTATGCATGCCTGGGTCCGTTGTTTGGTAAAGTCTTTCTTTCTCTTAAGTTTGAGGTAAGTCCTAGAGATGATATCTATTGCTCTCTCTTGTCTGATTTGGAAAATTGATTTGATCAGTTCAGGTTCCTGAATCTCACGTAAATACTCTTTGAGCTCCCTCCTATTCTTCAGTCTTGACAAAAATCCTCTGACGACCTAGAAAAATAAAGTGCTGGCTTACTTTCTGGATGGTTACCACCTGATGTTCAGGAATATGCACAGTATCGATCTGTGACTTTGAGCTATTACTGCCTGATTGGGAGCCCCTTGGCGAAGGGGCGGCCTCCTTCTGCGCAATGAAGTCGCTCTTATTGTTCATACTATGCAAAGTTTAAATAAATTATAAGTCCAATTCAAAATTAAAAGTTAACTAGGGGTTTTGGGGTTTTGGGGTTTTGGGGTTTTGGGGTTTTGGGG